GTGCATGCCTGCATGGATGTATGCCTGCATGGATGTATGCCTGCATGGATGTATGCCTGCATGGGTGTATGCCTGCATGGATGTATGCCTGCATGGATGTATGCCTGCATGGATGTATGCCTGCATGGATGTATGTATGAATGGATGTATGTATGAATGGATGTATGGATGAATGTGTGTATGTATGTGTGTTTGTGTAGGTATATGTATTTATGTATGTGTGTATGTATGCATGCATGCATGTATGTACGTATGCATACATGCATGCATACATTACATGTATGCATGTATGCATGTATGCATGCATGAATGTATGCATGTGTGCATGTATGCATGTATCCTTATGTTCATCTCAATTGCTTATTCTCATGATTTTTAAACTTGAAAAATGCGAAAAAGAAGGAAAACACATGGAAAATCAAAAAGCAAAACTTCAAAACTGAAAAAACGGAAGCAAAATAAATGGAGAAAAAGGAAAGTCAAAAAGGGGAAGAAAAAAAAAACGGAAAAATGGACTTGTCCATTTGCATTTATTTTTGCATTTATTTTGCTTTTCGATTTGCTTTGTTTTGCTTTTATTTTGCTTTTTTGCTTTTTTCCAGGCAGAAAGCAAAAAAAACAAAATAAAAGCAAAAAAACAAAAAGAAAGCAAATCTAGAAAGCAAAATAAATGCAAAGAAAATGCAAATGGACAAGCCCATTTTTTTCCAATTTTTCCCCTTTTTGACTTTCCTTTTTTCCCCCTTTTTTGTCCCTGGATTTTTTTTTTTGTGCTTTTTGGATTTTGCTGATTTGCTTTTTCGTGTTTCCTTTTTTTTTGCTTTTGTCGCGTTTTTCAAGTTTTGAAAAAGTTAGAATAAGCGGTGGTCTCGCCGACATAAATGTATCCATGTATGCATGTATGCATTTATGCATGTATGCATGTATGCATGTATGCATGCATGCATGCATGCATGCATCTATGCATCTATGTGTCTATGCGTCTATGCATCTATGCATTTATGCATGCATCTATGCATCTATGCGTCTATGCGTCTATGCATCTATGCATTTATGCATTTATGCATGCATCTATGCGTCTATGCGTCTATGCATCTATGCATCCATGCATTCATGCATCCATGCATCTATGCATCTTTGCATCTATGCATCTTTGCATTTATGCATCTATGCATCTATGCATCTATGTATCTATGTATCTTTGTACCTATGTATCTATGCATGTATGCCTGTATGGATGAATGGATGAAATGGATGAATGTATGAGTGCGTGACTGTGTGAATGTATGAATGCATGAATGCATGAATGCATGCATGTATGAACGTATATGATTGCAAATGATTGTATTTGAATGTATATGGATGTATATGAATGTAAATGAATGTAAATGAATGTATATGAATGCATATGAATGTAAATTAATGTAAATGAATGTATATGAATGTATATGAATGTATGTATCTGTGGTTGTGTGAATGTGTGAATGTATGAATGAATGTATGAATGCATGAATGCATGAATGCATGCATGTATGAATGCATATGATTGCATATGATTGTATTTGAGTGTATATGAATGCATATGAATGTAAATTAATGTAAATGAATGGATATGAATGCATATGAATGTATATATGAATGTATGTGTCTGTGGTTGTGTGAATGTGTGAATGTGCGAATGTATGAATGCATGAATGCATGAATGCATGCATGTATGAATGTATATGATTGCATATGATTGTATTTGAGTGTATATGAATGCATATGAATGTAAATTAATGTAAATGAATGTATATGAATGCATATGAATGTATATGAATGTATGTATCTGTGGTTGTGTGAATGTGTGAATGTATGAATGTATGAATGCATGAATGCATGAATGCATGCATGTATGTTATATGATTGCATATGATTGTATTTGAGTGTATATGAATGCATATATGAATGTAAATTAATGTAAATGAATGTATATGAGCATATGAATATGAATGTATGTACATTGGTTGAGTATGTGTATGAATGCATTGAATGATATGTATGCATATGAATGCATATGATGTATATGAATGCAATGTGTGAATGTATGAATGTATGAATGCATGAATGTGAATGCATGCATGTATGAATGATATGATTGCATATGATGTATATGAATGCATATGAATGTAAATTAATGTAAATGAATGTATATGAATGTATATGAATGTATGTATCTGTGGTTGTGTGAATGTGTGAATGTATGAATGTATGAATGTATGAATGCATGAATGCATGAATGCATGCATGTATGAATGCATATGATTGCATATGATTGTATTTGAGTGTATATGAATGCATATGAATGTAAATTAATGTAAATGAATGGATATGAATGCATATGAATGTATATATGAATGTATGTGTCTGTGGTTGTGTGAATGTGTGAATGTGCGAATGTATGAATGCATGAATGCATGAATGCATGCATGTATGAATGTATATGATTGCATATGATTGTATTTGAGTGTATATGAATGCATATGAATGTAAATTAATGTAAATGAATGTATATGAATGCATATGAATGTATATGAATGTATGTATCTGTGGTTGTGTGAATGTGTGAATGTATGAATGTATGAATGCATGAATGCATGAATGCATGCATGTATGAATGCATATGATTGCATATGATTGTATTTGAGTGTATATGAATGCATATGAATGTAAATTAATGTAAATGAATGTATATGAATGCATATGAATGTATATGAATGTATGTATCTGTGGTTGTGTGAATGTGTGAATGTATGAATGTATGAATGCATGAATGCATGAATGCATGCATGTATGAATGTATATGATTGCATATGATTGTATTTGAGTGTATATGAATGCATATGAATGTAAATTAATGTAAATGAATGTATATGAATGCATATGAATGTATATGAATGTATGTATCTGTGGTTGTGTGAATGTGTGAATGTATGAATGTATGAGTGTATGACAGTATGAATGAATATACACTGCATGAATGTGATGGTTGGGTGTGTCTGAAAATGGTGTATACTCGCCAAATGGCCATTTGATCCCCCTGTGGTCAAACATGGCTAGCCGAGAAATTCCCCATAAATGACGGTTTTGTCAGGAAAATCAACTACAAATGAGGGATGTTCCACTGCTATGTTTTTACTGGAGGGTATGGCTTATTGCCATACTTCAGCGAGGCTGAAGGCAATCTGTGTCCCAGCCATATCAACTGGCCAGCTCTTTGGTTGCTTTGAGACTAGTTCTGAAATTTCTCCAATCTACCTACTCCAGGAAGACCTTGCCTAAATTTGCATTTATATATATATAAGTGTGTGTGTGTCTGTGTTTTTTAAATTTATCTATTTATGTGTTTATTTGTTCATGTATCTATTTATTTATTTATTTATTAAAATTTATTTATATATTTATTTATTTATTTAGATATTTATGCATTTACTTTATTAATCAAATTACATCAAATTACTTATTTATTCATTTTTTATCGGTCCAAGGCTCACATAGGACGACTTTTTCACTCACTTCGGACAACATTTTTAGACGTGGACTTCAGGATTAACTCCATTGGATACAGACCTTTAGGTTAACACTTGGGGACACGGGGCTGGGACATGGGGTGGGTTTAGGGGACACTTGGGGACACGGCTGGGACATGGGGTGGGTTTAGGGGACCAGCATGGTGGAATGAGACCTTTAGGGTGACGGGCTGGGAGATGGGGTGGGTTTAGGGGACCAGCATGGTGGAATGAGCCTTTAGGTTAACACTTGGGGGGGTTTAGGGGACACTTGACACGGAACTGGGACACGGGGTGCGTTTAGGGGACCAGTATGGTGGAATGAGACCTTTAGGGTAACACTTGGGGACACGGGGCTGGGACATGGGGTGGGTTTAGGGGACACTTGGGGACACGGGGCTGGGGCATGGGTGGGTTTAGGGGACCAGCACGGTGGAATGAGACCTTTAGGTTTAGGGTAACACTTGGGGACACGGGGCTGGGACATGGGGGTGGGTTTAGGGGGCCAGCACGGTGGAATGAGACCTTTAGGGTAACACTTGGGGACACGGGGCTGGGACATGGGGTGGGTTTAGGGGACCAGGGGCACGGTGGAATGAAACCTTTAGGTTTAGGGTAACACTTGGGGACACGGGGCTGGGACATGGGGTGGGTTTAGGGGACACTTGGGGACACGGGGCTAGGAATGGCTAGGACATGGGGTGGGTTTAGGGGACACTTGGGGACGGGACATGGGGTGGGTTTAAGGGACACTTGGGGAGACGGGGCTGGGACATGGGGTGGGTTTAGGGGACCAGTATGGTGGAATGAGACCTTTAGGGTAACACTTGGGGACACGGGGCTGGGACATGGGGTTGGTTTAGGGGACCACCATGGTGGAATGAGAACTTTCGTCGTACACTCCATGTTGTGTGGTCGATAACATCTTCTTCAAGTGACTTGCAACACGTTCCTGATACGTAGTACTATCTTCTGCAAGTAACGTGCAAGACGTTACTGGCACGTTGTAACATCTTCGTCAAGTAACTTGCAAAACGTTCCTGATACGTTGTAACATCTTCCTCAAGTAACGTTCCAAATGTTCCTGATACCTTCTAACATCTTCGTCAAGTCACATTAAATACGTTCCTGATACGTTGCAACATCTTCTTCAGCATATGATTCAATGACAATATCCTGATGGGTCACACATGTACAAGCCTCTGGAAATCATGTTCATATACATCGATATATCTTTCTATTGAGACTGTAGCCATATATCACCGACGTAGTCCTAAGCGAGAAAAAACGTAGGCCTAAGCGAGGGACTGACCTTTTTTATCCTATTATCAATTGTGTCTGTATCTGTATTCACATGTATTCATACATTTATTCATTCATGTAGAATTTTGGTGTCTACCTACCCCCAGAACCCCCGAAAAACTTGTGGTCATCCCGCAGCCCCCACCAGTCCTGGTGCGGCCATTGCCTGGTTGACTGGGGACAATCGCAATTGGATCTGTTTCATAGAAGATGATCCATTGAAATGTTTGGGGACCACCGGGACCACCGGGGGCAGGGGGCCCTCAGGGCCCTCCGTCCACCGTCGTCCACCCTTTGCTAAGTCGAGGCACTGGTTGGAGTCCCTGGCAGGGATGGTCGGCACCTAAGTCGCGGCAGGGTCCCCGTGAGTTCAGCTGAATGGCCATGACGACCCCTAGACGAGACGAACTGTTTTGGCCTTTGGTTCGCCGAACGGTCCCCAAAGTCGCATAAGCTGCCACAACTTGGATTTGCAGAAGACTCAAAAATGAAACGAAAATATCACCAGTAGATTCCACAAATCCGAGACAAAGCAAGAGCGTCGCTTCAACCAATGCGTCTCTGACGCATCAGAAGTCAACGGGAAAAAAAACGGAAGCCTCGGCCAAAAAAGCAGCCAATTTGGCATGCTTGAAGTGTTGCCATCGGGCTTTCCTCATGGTTGGAGGAAGAGCTTTGGTCCTGGTGGGCTTCTTACCCTGCCATTCCGCCGCTCTTATGGGAGGAAGAGGGGTCCTGTCGGAATCAGAACGACTAGAGCCGACCATGACTGGTGGTTGAGCCATCCCAACAAAACGCGTCTGTTCGGAATCAACTTCCAACATCAGTGCCAAATATATGCATATAATATATGTAAATCAGATAATAATTAATTATATCTCTCTTATTCATTTAGTAATAGTTTGTTTATCTTTATTTATTTATTTACGTCTGCATTTGCTCATTTATCTGTTTATATTTGAAACGAACAACCAAATAATTCCATCACACAGTCGACACGAGCTCACCAAGAGTCCTTCAGAATAAGACCAACGTTCCCAACAAGAAGAGAGCTGTTCGGCACACTGCTGTGGCCGCATGGTTCACCTCGACCTTCCAAAGGGTTGTTTGTACCGCTTGGCCCAGCGTCGGCAAGCGAGGCATTCCAATTACAATCTGCGCATCCAACCATTGATCTCAAAGGGTAATTGGGCTCCTTTGCTCTCCACATAATCGGGCTATCAGCTATCAACCTTCCCTGGCTATATGTTTTTAAGAATCAAATCAATTAAATTCCTGTCAATCACTTTCAAATGAGTCAATTCTGGCTTATCAAATCTGATCAATTCCGTAATTGGCCAGGGTTAGCCTTGGGCATGGTAGCTTCAACATATAGACCCTCCGTTCTCCCAAGCTCATGATCAGCACACCTGGGTGTCCAGGGGCCTTACTTTAATGATTTAAATGGCATAAATACTAAATCATACCAAATCTATCTAAATCTGATAACTGATAATAGTTATGTTTGTTCTATTGCGGGTATCTGCCATGTCTTCCGGCAACACCAAGGCCTCAGACTCGGTGGTAGATGTAGTGCTCTCAGGGCCTGGCAGCCCATTGGATTTTGTCAATCAATGTGGGATATATTGGATATTGGATATTGATACTGGATATTATATATAGCACATCAATATTGACTATTCTTATTATCTGACATATCTTGATGGTATCATCGTTTTTGGGCCCATTGTTACCCCATTTTTCTCTTCAGATTTTGGGCCAGAGCCATATGTTATCTTTAGCCACCTCTTGATGTGTCTTCTCTTGACATGCATCACCGCCATAAATATACACAGATCTCATACATATGTATACAGTATATACACTAGATTGAACAAATACAATTTCTCACTATTTAGGTGATTTTGATGGAGGGAAAAAAAGGAAAAATAGGGCAGCCTGGATTAGTCACAGGATTCTCACAATGCTTCCGTGATGTTTTGGCTTGACAATTCTACATTTTGAACCATACCATTGATTGTGCTGCACAACTGAGACATGATTGCACTGCAACAACACGTGACACAAATCTCAGCGCAACCAAGGAGCACATTTCGGGTCCACGTTCTGCATCAGGCAGGTGGATGAACAGCTCGTGCAAGAACAACTTGGTGCTCTCCCATGATCGGTAGTCTGCGCGGTGATCATAGATGGCTTGCCCTGGGAAATTGGCATTCCACTCGGTGAAGCTGTGGAAAACATCCTTGCCGTATCGTGCGATCTCGTATTTGGCATTGGCAGCCTCAAATTCACGCACTAACAGCCCTATATCCGTCCTAGCATCATCGTCTACACCAGAATGCAGCAAAACCTTGGCCACCACTGGAACATCACTACTTGAACTGCGCACCACTCGCGAGCCCGGTTGGATGCCAGAGTGATACCCAACAACTCCAGATACGTTGAATCCCAGAATGGCCATGTTGACAACGCCCGTGCCACCGAAGCAGTAACCTACTACTGCAATCTGGGAGGTGTTCACATAGTTATAGGTCTCCAACTGCTCAAGGGCAGCATTGATCTTTGCCATGTAGAGATCTGGATTTCCACGGTGAGCACCAGCTGCTGCGCCCCAATCAGCCATGTTCTCTACAGGAGTTCCAAAGCCATAGATGTCTGCGGCAAAAGCAACATAGCCCAATTCCGCCAGCATCCGCGCCCGCTCCTTCTCGTACTCATCCATCCCGGTCCAGTCCTGAATGATCACTACAGCAGGGCATGGGCTGCTGTCAGTGCAATGGCTGGTATTGTATGCGAGGTAACCTTGGCAAGTTGTTGTGCTGCAGGTGTAGTTCTGCAAGGCGGTGTGAAGCATTGGATTTTCGGGTCCACGTTCTGCAGCGGGCAAGCCCGTGAAGAGCTCCTGCAAGAACAGCTTGGTGCTCTCCCATGATCGGTAGTCTGCACGCCAGCTATACATTTGTGATCCGGGCGAGCGGGCACTCCACTCTGTGAAGCCTGAGAAGACATTTGAACCATAGCTGATGATCTCATAGGTGGCACCAGCTGCCTCGAACTCCTGCTCCAACACTCCAATGTCAATGGAGGTATCATCATTAGCTCCGGAATGCAACAGGACCTTGGCCATCACGGTAGCATTGTTGGTCCTTCCATCCCAGCTTACTCTCGCGCCGAGCTTGATGTCGGAGTAGTAGCCCACCACTCCAAGGACATCCTCTCCCAGAAGTGCCAGGTTCACAACGCCAGAGCCCCCAGAACCGTAGCCAAGCACTGCGATCTTGGAGGTGTCCACGTGTTCCTGGCTCTTCACCTGGCTGAGAGCCGCCTGGATCTTCGTCATGAAGAGATCTGAAGTTCCTTCATGGGCCAATGCAGCTCTCACCCAGTCTGCCAGGTCCTGCTGTGGAGTATCCCGGCCATAGATGTCGGCCGTGAAAGCCACATAGCCCAAGTCCGCCAGCATACGCGCCCTCTCCTTCTCATAGCCATCCAAAAAGTCCAGTCTGGAAGGATCATGACGATTGGGCACTTACTGCTGGAAGTACAGCTGGGCGGATGGGCCATGTAGCCATCACAGGTGGTGCTGGCACAGCTGTATGAAACTTGTGAGATGGTCAAACAGGAATCCCCACGTGCAGAACCCAAAGCCAGGCTGAGCAGCACTGAATGGACCAGAGCAACCACCATTGCCGCAACTTGACTTGGCTAAGTGGAAGCTTGAGCCCTACAGTACAGCTGAGCACTGCAGCAAGAGTGAAGTCAATGGATTGCAATCAAATGAAATATCTTGAGCATGGACGCAATGGTTTCAAGTGCATGTTTAGCCACATAGGGGTGGTGGAGGACCTAAAAACCATCAGCCTAAATTATCTTAGAATCCCATCCAAAGCTCACATCATTCCGTGCACGTGACAACCTCGCAATAATGTTTTGCAAGTCGGCCACTAGATCATGGCATCATGTCATCGAAACACATGGAATCACAACGTGGCGCCATCACCATCACTGCCATCACCCACTGATGAGCCATGCCACGAGTCGCGATTGGGGCACGCGGTGCGTCGTGGTAGGAGTGGTCAGGGTTGACTCGGATTCTTCCTGGGAAGAGGACGTCCACTGGACCAATGGATGTCTAGTTTTGAGGGAAATTTGGTCAGAAAGCATAGCTTGACCCGGAAATTCGGCCGGGGAAACCTGTAAATAGCCCCTTCAACTAATTGTGGGATCCAAGTCATCCAACAGGGACGCATGTCATTCTGAGTGAAGCATTTTTTCTATGATAGCAACCCAGGGTGTTTGAGAATTACGTGTGAAACCAACAACCACATTTTTTGCTCACTGTCAAACGATAATGCGCTTGTCATCTTTGGAAACGACTCACCACTTGAGCAAGCCACCTGATGAGAAGCCGAATGCATATTTTCACTGGCAGCAAGAGCCTGGCTACATTGCAAAACTGATTCAGAATGCTATCCGTTTACTGTAGGTTCTGTGGGAGACTTGACCCTCTGACCCAACCCCAACCTGCTTCACAACTACACTAAAGAAGCGGATCACATCATTTCCAAAGCTTTGCCCAAGGTTCAGCAACACTGTCCATCTTGTGAAGCGGCCTTGCCCCATTCTGGATGGGATGATTGTGAGCCCATGCTGCACAAGCCACTGGCCTTTTGGCTCGCGATCCCACTGGATCCACTGCAGTGCGTCCATGACCAGTTGGTGGCTCTTGCCGTGCCCGGGGCGGCTCACTGAAGGACAAGGACACGGGGATGGCTCTGATCGGCGAGGCAGGTCGTGGTCTGAAACTGGGCGAGGGGCTCCGGGCAGCCGCATTCACAAAGGTGATGCCTTGCGCATGGACCGGCTGCGCTGTCATGCGATAGGCGGGTGGCAGAGCTCCGTTGGTGATATGGGGCCGCCCATCCATAGGCACAAAGACCAGGGCACCGTCATGGGTGCGGCCGTACATGGCCACCACAGCTACAAGACTCGCCCGAGGGCTTGTGTAGAATCTGTGATGCCAAATTATCAAACTATCAAGCTGCGCCTATGGGTTGCAATCTTCAAGCTGCAGATTTCCCACATTGAGTCGGCATTTGCTTCCTGAATACTCTGATGCCATGCCCACCTTTGGGGCCAGCTATGAGCCGGAAAAAACGTGCAGCAACTTGAAGCTCTTTTGGCAACTCCACCATAAGCTGATCACAGCTCACTATTTTGTGCACATAGTTAGATAGATAGATAGACAGACAGACAGACAGATAGATAGAGAGACAGACAGACAGACAGACAGACAGACAGACAGACAGAGAGACAGACAGAGAGACAGAGAGACAGACAGACAGACAGACAGACAGATAGATAGACAGACAGACAGACAGACAGATAGATAGATAGATAGGATAGATAGAATAGATAGAATAGATAGAATAGATAGAATAGATGGAATAAATAGAACAGATGGAATAGATAGAATAGGTGGAATAAATAGAACAAATGGAATAGATAGAATAGATAGAATAGATAGAATAGATAGAATAGATAGAATTGATAGAATAGATAGAGTATGATAGAATAGATAGAATAGATAGAATAGATAGAATAGATAGAATAGATAGAATAGATAGAATAGATAGCATAGATAGCATAGACAGCATAGATAGCATAGATAGCAAAGATAGAATAGATAGAACAGATAGAATAGACAAAATAGACAGAAAAGAAAGAATAGACAGAACAGATAGATTTGATAGATTTGATAGATTTGATAGATTTGATAGATTTGATAGATTAGATAGATTAGATAGATTAGATAGGTTAGATAGATTAGATAGGTCAGATAGGTTAGATAAGTTGGATGGGTTAGATAGATTAGATAGGTTCGATAGATTAGATAGATTAGATAAGATCGACTAGATAGATTAGATAGATTAGATAAGATAGAAAAGGTAAGATAGGATAAGATAAGATAAGATGAGATGAGATGAGATAAGATAAGGTAAGATAAGATAGATAGATAGATAGCTAGATAGAGAATGGCGGCTGATGTAGGTTGTTTCTTCCCTGCTGAATGTTGAACAACGTTCCCCATTGCCCACCGAATACCACTGCAAATTGCCAGGTAGAAGCACAGTTCAGTTCAACATGTTAAATATCTTTGGTCTCTAGGCATCTTAATTGCATTTCATTACCCAGTACCTGTTTTTTTTTGGTCCAGTCATAGGTACAACTGTACAACAGGTACGGTAGTTGGCCACGTGGGAGAGTCGTGCCCCAAGCGCTGCCACGGCATGCCACGACATGCCACGGCCAACCAGGCGTCAAACGAAGGGACAAGGCCGGAGTGTCGTTGGACATGGTGCCATCCTTCCCAAAGCCGCCGGCAAAGCCGCGGGCACTGAATGGTTCCGGAGGGGAACTAAAGAACGCAATGGGTTGTTGAAACTGATCTACCCTCGAAGTGCCGTTCACAAGGGATGATGCCCCAATGATAATTTTGCTGGCTCGGAGAGAATGGCTCAATGGTTCCCAATCCCAAGGACCACAAATTCCTTTTTGGTACTAAACATCCAGCTTTTAGGGCTTCACAATATCTCAACCCTAGTGCCTGAGAGAATCGAGCTTTCAGGTTGAAGTCGCAGAAAGGAGCCTGCGACCGCCATCCCATTGCGACACCAGAAGAAAGGCGGGATGGTTGTCCAAAAGGAGGAATGGCTCAAGAACCATTGCACTGAAAAAATCAAAGAAGGGATCCAGTGAAATCACTATTAGACTAGTATCCTTTGCAAACGGCCCGATCCCTTGGCACCCCAGCTCTTTTCCATCCCCTGCTCACTGGTCTCTGAGCCGCCGCACTGGTTCACCATCAGGCGTGATGAGATTGAGCTGAACGTTCACAGACTTGGTCTCCACCTTTTTAGGCTAAGAACATAAAATCGGGCCGAATGATGACTGGTAAGTGTCGTAAAACCTGGGACAGACCCAGTTCGAACACCACCACTAGGTTTTAAAAACCGCGTGACTAAGATTCGAACAACTAGGATTGTCATATCAACTAAAGGCCTAGCATGTGGTCGGCTTGTCTGGTTAGAATGCCCGCAGGATTCCAAAGTGCCAAGCCAGCCGCAAATCCTATATAGAATGTCTGGCTACCAAGAACTTTGTCAACACGAAGTCCTGTCAGGGGGAGGGAAAGGACTACAACTCAGAATTCATGAATGGCAAATTAAAAGGATTAAAACAGGGTCGCACTTTAAAGAAAAAGTGATTCCTCCCCGCTTGTGTGGTTCAAGACTTCAAGACCCTATCTCATTCTTGCACTGCAGGCGCCTCTGCCCTTCTGACATATTGTCGACCCCCCGTGCAAAAGCATTGGACCCTCAGCCCCAATTTGACACCCAAAGTATGCATGTAACATAGGAGTACTTCCCATATAATATGGATAAATATCCAAACTCATATGAGAAGGGCGAGATGGAAAGAGCCGCAGAGACTCACGTCTCTGCAAAGCTGGGTCCAAAGACAAGTACTGTAGAAACAAAATTGGGAAGCAACTCCCGTGCCGTAAACTGCCAGCCAGCCACTTGTAAAAACCACTCTCATTGATAGGACATAAAACACTACTAAAGTTCTAGTCTTTTTGAACCAATCATCCCAAAGCCTCAATTCTTTCGCCAAAATTCATATCTGAAGATTCCACTCCGCACCATACACATCTCCCCGCACCTCTTGCCGAAGTGGCAGGAAGTCACCATTCTCCTTTACCTCGGATGTGGCGTTGTAGGGGACCAATGGAGGGACCTTGGCGAACTATGGATTGAGTGGAACATGGCTTCCAGCTGGATAGGATAAGATCCCTGATTTCTGGATCAAATTGATGGCTACCATTGCCACATTGCACTTTTTGCTGTGGAACTTGTATATACTAATTTTAACAGAGAGGCCGGACATTCAAGGGCAAACGTTTTTCTTAACTCAAGCATAGATGCTCCACCCCTTGATGCCAAGCGGCTTCAACCTCGAAAGACGTTGCGACCTCAGCGTGCAAAGACAGCTGGTGGGTGTTGATCATGTCAAGAGCTAGATGCTACTAGACGCTCAAATGGCAGAAATACAGCAGCAAGAAATTCTTTAAAAATTAATTCAAACTGAATCAAACCGATTTTCGTAGTTTTTCCAGCTGGTATCTCTGCGTTTCGAAGCAGCGACCAGCTTTCCGCATCCCCTTCCACCGCAGGCATCCGAGCAAAGGCCGACGTGGCATCAGGTTCCAGGTGGAAGACCATGGTCCTGTTTTGCCGCGGCAGGGGCGATCAAAACATATCAAAATCCTAGAATCTCTTGGTTTTCACATCCAAATAGCTGGCAAAGTATGGCAAATGGGTATTCCTCCAAACAAGGCATGATAGATATTGGCCATTATTGGCCGGCATTCTGCATTCAACCCAACTGTTCGAACATGTTTGTTCGTAAGAAGGTCCACGATGCCCAAATCATGATATCACCATCCCACGATGATCCAGTATTCATGATTGAGTTTCAGGACCATACCATGTCCCCCACTGGTGTCTCGCAAGTGTCAAGTTTTCTAAGTCGGTGGAGACCCGCAACTTGGAAGACAACTTGGCTGTTCACATTGCGTAGAACCGTCAGATTTCGTCCCCTTTTGAGCATTTTGAGCCTCAGAAGTATGATGAATCACTACAAGATCAGATTTTGGGGAGTCATAAGTCATCACAAGTCTCATAGCGCTGACCCACCCACGCTCCGCACTCACTGGGAATTGGCTACGCTCCCACAGAAATTGCAACTTTTCTATGGATTCATATGAGCCGCGTCAAAACTCCTTGTCTTTGCCTGGTAGCCCCCCGAAAAGAAAGAAGCATCGTCTTTTTGAGTGGGGCCGATCACTACTACACTGCGCATGGTTTTGTACTTATGGAGGAACAATCTTTATAAGGAAAGGAAGAAAACAAAGGAAGAGGCGGAAGGTAAAAGACAGAGGAAAAGGAAGAAGAGAGGAAGAGGAAAGGAAGGAGAGAGGAAGGGAAATGGAAGAAGAGAAATGAAAGGAGGAAGAGGGGAAGAGAGAAAGAAGAAAACAATAAAGAGGAAGCGGTGCCTGCTATTCAAAAAGAGGAAAGGCAACTAATTTTGCCTCTTGCATGCATGCAACTTCGTGTAAAACAGCTTCAGATGTGGACATGATGCACAATTGTAATTATCGGCTGTGGGGGGGGGCTATCACTACAGTGTTTGGCGCACTTTCCAAACATAAAGTGAGCACTCCCTACTGCCCTACTAAAGTGGTCTGCCAGAGTTTTGGCCGTATCCTATATGATATGCCTCCATCCTTCGCTCAACCAATGCACATTAAACATGGTTCGGCCTTCTAATTTGTTGGTTAATCCCCATGTTTTGGATATGTTTAAACACTTTTTTGGATGTTTTAACACCTTGTTTCGGATGGTTCGCCCCATCTTCGAATTGTTGAGCCCCTATTTTTGAAGTTAAAAACACCTGGGTTTACCTTGCTCTCTCTTTCCCCACCACCGGTCACCGGTCACCGGTCCCGGTTGGAAGTTCGACAGTGGCCACCCCACCATCGCTGGTGACCCCGCTGATGGCTATGCCATTCGACCTGGCACAACACCAAGGTGCCATCTGACCCATGGGGAAAACATAAACAATTTATGGGATATAAGTAACAATAGAACACATAATCAATCAATTAAGAACTTTGCCAATCAAAGAAATATGAGTGCGAATGGTTGGGTTTAAGGAAGGGAAAATTTAGGGGAAACGATGTTCCTTTTCCTCCTAAATTTAGGTGGTCCTGCAAATCGTCTATTCATCCAACTCTTGCAGGGGGTGTGACACGTAAGGGATATGACATGATATGACGCATATGAATTTTGATGGATATATGTATATGTATATTATATATATATGCTGTTGATATCTATTGACTATTGATAAAGTCATCGATACATCAACCATCAATCCCGATGAGTTTTGAAGGGGCGATATCTAGCGGAATGGCGTACCAACCGGATTGGGACTTGACATCAGTATGATAACTGACCAGCTTCAATTAGTGGGATTGCTTGGTAGGAGATGATAAATGCAACTTGGGGATCTCATGAACATGGCGAATCCCCTGGCACCCGAAAGTTCACATCAAGATTTCTGGTACATAGATATTCATCCCCTCCAGATTTATGGAAATACATTGGGTTTAACCTATATTCCCATAGTATCCCGTGGTCAAATCCCAATTGTTGATGGTTCAATCTTCCATGTTTGATGGTTAAAGATTATCATGATTGATGCTTAAATCCTGTGTTTGATGATTGAAATCCCCATGTGGTAAGTCACTATAAATCTCCAGACGGTGGAATTCAGGGCGGCATCCAGAACCAATTGGAAGAGCTGCAGCACCTCACGGTGAAGGGACATCGCCTAGCAAAGCCGTGGATTTCAGGAAAATGGAGTGCAATACCGACAGGGGAATATAGCCATATGTAAAGCATGGAGTTATATATATATATCAGCTGCTCCGCTCTCTATTTTCACGCTGTGGCAAGACTTCTGACGTGCCAGGACCACGGCCATTGCCATGTGGCCAGCTGTGAAACCTGCGTTCTGCTAGGCAGCTGCAGGTCACTTTGAACGCAGGCCCCTCGAGCCTGGCCAGGCCCACAACGGGGCAAAACACGGGGCTCAAAGCCTGGCACACTCCCATCTACACCACTTCGCAAAGAAAAGATGGGGCACGCTATCCACTTTCTAGCGCTGAGAAGTGCGCCTCTGACGAAGTTGCTCGCTGAAGAGGGGCATTTTATCCCTAAACTTTTGGACGAGCTGGATACTCGTAGGAGATAGGCGCAGCTGCACCAAAGCAGCACGGCCAGAGACAAGGTACTGCCGGGCCGTCTTTACACTTTGCCACCTTCCAAGCAAAAGAAGGGCATCGAAGTGGGTTCCGGTGGCAAAGGCATGAGAGGCCCCTCCTCTCCTTAAACTGTACCAGTGTATGCCAGGTCTTCCAATCGTAGGAAGGCCAGCAGAAGCCGTAATTTGGCACGGAACTGGTTGGGGGTGAGACCTCCGACGGAGTCAGCAGTGATTGAACCAAGCGCTGCTTGTGCAAAAAGGGCTAAATTGCGATCCCACATTGCCACACTTTCAAGCTTTTGTTTGGAGGTTTTGGTGGCGGGCAGAGCCAAGACGACGGGCCCCGAAGCGGGGTCTGCACGAATTTGTGAAACTTTTAAGCTGGTAATCCCTCCCGTCCACAGGAAGGCAATATAACCCAGCAAAATCAAAAGCGCCAGGCGGCGATCATCAACTGACAATGCAACTCCGGCCAATGCCAGGGCTACTTCGGCCGGCATAGGCACCGCCTGGCGAGGAACATGCGCGCTCTTCCGATTTGAGGAGGACTGCCGCGACACGGGCAGCTTGAACCTCAGTTGAAGGTAGAAACGTCTCAGTGCGCTGAGGACATGCCCGGCATAGGTGATATTTATGCCGCCATCCAACCACAAGTGCTCAAGGTATTGTGAGAGGAGATCATCCAAAACGGAAGCACGCTTGGGAATGGGTTCCTCATCATCCGGCCAACGAAAGAAATCTAAAAGGGCTCTCTTGTACCCACAAACCTCAATCACATGCTAGGCACAACGGCTTGACCTGTCGGCGAAGTTCCAGCCCGACAGCATCCAAATCGGAAAGACGTAGAGGTCCCCCATGAAAGCCAGGGCTGTCAGCCTCTGCGGAGCCCGTCCACAATTGCGGGAACCTAGTTGAAGAACAACCCAATCTTTCACCATGGCACGTTGAGCTTCTGTCATGATTTCTCGAACAAGTACTGCATCATCTGCCCACACATCGTCTTCCAAAACCATGTAGCAGTGCGCCCGAGGTAAAGATTGTCCGAGCTGCAAGGCTTTCCTGAGCACTCCGCGTCTGGCATGAAAGACAGACGACATGGAATCACTTGTAAGCATGCGAAAGGATTGTACGTGGCAACCAGTTGGAATGTTTGCGCACTAGTGACAGCATGTGTCATCATGTTGTTTAGACACGAACTTCGTGAACAAACAAGTGCCGCTGTATGCGCTGCATGTGCATTTCTTGTCTCAGCGTTTGTTTGCTGTGGCACAAGCCACATGCCTTTGTCGCCAAGACACTCATGGCTCATGGAGCATGCCATCATGCCCCAAGCAGCAGTCTGTCCTTTCTGAAAGCTATTTCCGAGATTAAATGTTCTTTCGGCCCGGCCGTCTTCTGTATTCCAGCAAAACCTCACTCGGCCACCGCCAATATGACGAGCTCGGCCTTGACTCTGCCGCAATTTCTCTCCATCCACGGCATCAATCCAGATTGTTTGGAGTTTCAAATCATCAAGAAATGCTTGCAGTTCGCGGCGGCGATGAGTGTGGTGAGCTAGATTTATGACGATGACGGGCAATGCCATGCAGAAAAAAACATGCCCACACAAGGCAAACAAATTCTAGACGCAGTATGTGACTTTTTCTTGTCAGACTGCCACAACCGAACTTCGATGGTCAAAGTTTTCAAAGTGTGTGTAACCATGTCAGCATCTCATCGCATTCAAGTAGTGCTGTGAGAATGTAGAATGTCCGTCTTGACGAAAGAAACATAGCGCATCTAGTAAACTGATACGTCGGAATGAGCAAACAGTTGTATCCATGGGAATTTCGGTTGGAAAACTGTTTGTTGAAAGACTTGTGTTAATTCATGTGTATGTTTAGAAATGGAATCAAATTTGCGTGGCTGGTATTTGCTGACATGGCATGTCTTTTTGCTGCAACGCGCCATGTTCTGTCCGAAGCGGATAGTCGTAACCAGCGAAATGCTGTTGCAATTTTATGCACATTCAGCAGGCGTCTTCACAAATCAAGTGGCCAACCCAACGCTTGTCTATATTTTCGAGCTTTTTCAATTGTTTTTCCAGCTTGTCTAGTGGTTTTTAAGCAAAGAGGCCTTTCATGTCGACATCATGTTTTGGCAGCAAAAACATTTCATTGCAATCGTCTAGCTTTATGTAAATGGCTTTGGGCAAAGCATGGAGAACGACATCACTTTGCGACTCGCAGGCATGCTTGGCACTCTCTTTGGCCACTTCGAGTCCCACCACTGTGCCTGTGCAATCTTGCACAACGAATGGTGGGTGGACCGAAGTAGTGAAACGAATTCTCATCCCCACATATATTAAGCAAATTCCTGGATTTTTTCGTTTTTCGAAGATTATATTCATCCAGCATTTCCTTGTACAACGCTTGGTTATAATTTTTTTGGGGGAATCAACAGAAGGTATGTAGAACAATTGTTTATTCTGTTCGCGGGCGCCATGTTGTGCTCGTAGAGCCATCGCCATAGATACAAAATTCCATGTGTATGCTGTGTGATACCAATCGGCAGTGTCTTTGACAAGGCTTGCTGCATCAAAATCAGGGTGACTAAGGTCGACTTCTGTCTGCAGAAGTTTTTTCCATTGGGCATCTGTTATTTTTCGGCCTTGTGGGTCTCGAATAGCTTCCAAAATGGCAATCAGGTCCTTCACCGGGGAGGCTATAGACCCTTTTCCTCCAACCCAGCGTCCTGGCATGGGTTGGGCCACACCCTCGACTCGCAAGGCTTGAGCCAGAGCGAGCTTGAGCCAAAATGGCTACGGAAAGGAGGCAAAGGCCCCCCCCAGAGCGAGAGCGCTGTGCTATAGCTTCATGTCTTCAAGCTGCGCTCTCATCCATTCTTATCTATATACATAACTCATAAACCTATATGGCTATCGCTCAAGGGTATTGATCCGGACGTATGGAACGAAGGAGTTACGCAAATAAATTCAAATGAACTTTATCCTTTCACAAGGATCACAAGGGTACGCATGGATCGGGGATGTGGATCAGGGGTATGGATCGCCTGTGCGTCCGGGGTATGGATCAACTCTGCGTCCGGGGTATGGATCGGGGCCTTACATTCTGAGCTTCAGCCATGTGTGTGTGTGCGTGTGTCATTTCAAAGAATATTACGTAATCGTTAACAACAATAATAACAATACGAATAGTAACAATAACAATATTACATACACGACATAATGATAAGAACACTATCAAAAATGATGTTAAACAACCATGTCAAATAAATATGTTGATATGTGATAATAATAACATTGTTAATGTTATTATTAAATGGTGCTGAATTTAAAACGAGTACTGATGCTGATGATGATGATGATGATTGCTATGTTGATGAAAATTCAGCCGCTCAATGCGCGAACACTCAGGGACCCGGAGTCAAAGCCCCAGCATTTCACTGGCAATTGTTCACTCGCCTCACTGGTTCGTCGAAGCGGCTGCGGAGCACAAACTCACACCTCGGTGGAGGGTCACGAATCAAAAAGATATTGCTCTTGGGATCAGCACCAAAAACTATCTGCAGATCCAAAAACATTATATATCAGGATCAAAAAAACCAGTCATAGGAATAGAAGAAGAAGAAAAAGAAGTAGTAGTAGTAGTAGTAGTAGTAGTGCATGGTATTTGCTACATCTCGGCATGTTCACCGAGTTTCATTCAGGATCATTTAGGGCTTCATGTAGGGTCTCATTTAGGGTTTCATTTAGGGTTTCATTCAGGGTTTCATTTAGGGGCTCATTTAGGGCTTTATTTAGGGCTTCATGTAGGGTTTCATTTAGAGGGTTTCATTGAGGGTTACATTTAAGGTTTCTTTAGGATTTCTTTAAGGGGAAAAAAGTATACCAACAAGAGAGAATAAAGCAAAAGAAACAGAAAAGCAAAGATACTGTAAAGAAAGGAAGCAGAAAAGCAGAGTTCTTTCTTTCCTTCTTTCCTTCTTCCTTCTTTCCTTCTTTCCTTCTTTCCTTCTTTCCTTCTTTCCTTCTTTCCTTCTTTCCTTCTTTCCTTCTTCCCTTCTTCCCTTCTTTCCTTCTTTCCTTCTTTCCTTCTTTCCTTCTTTCCTTCTTTCGTTCTTACTATTAATTCCAAGAGTAATCTATCCCACGAGAAATTGTTTCTGATCTAGGTCCCTGGTGGAGCTCCCGAATGCTCCCGTTGTGCTTCTGCACCGATCTGAGCTTTGAGAACTGGGACAATAATGGGATGATAATGGAAGAAGCTAATGCACATCCATATCAATCCCCGTCCCCATCAGGTTCCAATCCCACATAAATCCCGTCCCCACCATGTTCCCCCGCACGAATTCACGGGCGTCCCCACTGGAAGCGCAACCGTCTCACAATGATTCGAAACAGCTGATGGGCATCGATGTCTTGCACCTACCATGTCCAACTTTTGGACCGCATCGAAACCGTGAGGTGGTGGATATCTGATGCTCACATTCTGAAGGCACCAGCCATAAACGTGTGTATTGTGATTTTGGGTAAATGCCAATGAATGGTCACATATCCACGTAATTTTGCCTATCTATCTATGTGTCTATCTATCGATAAAATCGATCTATCCAGCAATCTATCGATCTCTATCTATCTATCTTTCTATCTATCTATCTGTCTATCTATCTATCTTTCTTTCTTTCTTTCTATCCATCTACCTATCTACCTATCTACCTATCTACCTATCTACCTATCTACCTATCTACCTATCTACCTATCTACCTATCTATCTATCTATCTATCTATCTATCTATTTATCCATCTATCTATCTATGTCTACCTATATCTATCTATCTATCTATCTATCTATCTAGCTAGCTATCTATCTATCTATCTTATCCTATCTTATCCTACCTATCTATCTATCTATCTATCTATCTATCCCATCTATCTATCTACCTATCTATTGTTTATCTTCCTATAAGTCCTATCTCCCCTATCGATCCTATCTATCCTATGTATCTTATCTATCCTAGCCTATCTACCCTATCTATCCTATCTATCTTTCTATCTATCTATCTTTCTTTCTATCTATGCATCTATCTGTCTATCTGTCTATCTATCTACCTGTCTATCTATCTATCTACCTAATCTATCAAATCCATCTAATCTATCTAATCTACCTGATCTATCTATCTATCTAATCTATCTAAACTTTGCAACCGATCAACTCAATCGAATCTATCTAGTCTATCTCTATCTATCCTCTCTATCCTATCTGTCCTATCTATCCTATCTATCTTATCAATCCTGTCCATCCTATCTATCCTATCTATCCTAACTATCCTATCCACCTTATCGATCCTATCGATCTTATCTATCCTACCTATCCTATCTTTCCTATCTATCCTTTTTATCGATCTATCTATCGATCGATCTATCGATCTATCTATTGATCTGTCTATCTATCTATTTATCTACCTATCTATCTGTCTATCACTCTATTCTATTCTATTCTACTCTATTCCAGTCTATTCTATTCTATCTATCCTTTCTTTTCATCTGTTCTATCTATTCTATCTATTCTACCTAATCTATCTAATCTATCTAATCGATCTAATCGATCTAATCTATCTACCTAATCTATCTCATCTTCTAATCTATCTAGTCTGTCTAATCTATCTAATCTATCTATTCTATCTAATCTATCTCATCTTCTAATCTATCTAGTCTATCTAATGTATCTAATCTATCTATTCTATCTATTCTATCTATCCTATCTATCCTATCCATCCTATCTGACCTATCTACCCTTTCTACCCTATCTATCCTATCTTTCTTTCTATGCTATCTATTCTATCTATCCTATCTATCCTATCCATCTATCTATCTAATTTACAGCTACCTAATCTAATCTACAGCAATGTAATCTAAGCTAAACTAATCTCATCTAATCTAATCTAACGCATCTAATCTATCTTTAATTCTCTTATCTCTCTTCTCTGTCTAATCGATCTAATCAATCTAATCCACCATAATCCACCTATCTAATCTACCAATATAATCTATCTAAGTTATCTTATCTATCTACTCTATCTAATCTATCTAATCTACCCAATCTATCTAATCTATCTAATTTATCTTATTTACCTACTCTATCTAATCGATCTCGTCGATCAAATCGATCTAATCGATCTAATCTAACCTAGCCGTATCTAATCTAAATCTAAATCCAGATCTAATCTACTCCGATCTGCCCATGTATCTATGCATCTGTGTGTATATATATATATAATATACACATGTGTGTGTGTATCTATGTATCTATGTATCTATATATGTATCTTTGTATCTATGTATCTATGTATCTATGTATGTATATATATATATATATATACATCTATCTATCTATCTATCTATCCATCCATCCATCCATCCATCCATCCATCCATCTATTCATCTATCCATCCCTCTATCCCTCCCTATGGTTGCTGAACCCCATTCCTATCCCATGAAAGCCCCAAAAAGTGAAAGCCAGCGATTCACCTCGAGCTCTTGGGACAAAGGCTCCACTGGCCACTGCGAGGAATCTTCCTACAGCCCAGGGGGGAATGCTCCCATGTCATGTGTTTGGGGCCATGGATGGCCAGGGAACCCCATGTGTTTAAGGAAAATGAGGATAAACAGGATCAACCATGACTGGTTGGCGGTTTCAACCCCTCCGAAAAAGTTGGGATGATTCTTCCCAATATACAGAAAATAAAAAATGTTCCAAACCACAAACCACCAGCCAGATGAACACCAAACCATGATCACCATGGATTCTGGCCCCAAAAGAGTAACAAACCCAGCCGCCAGTTGCCCCGACCCTTCGAAACGTCGGTGACTCCTCGCTGCTGTAGCTTGCAACATGCAGACCAACACCCAAGCGACCTTTCACCTGGCCAGTGGCCTGCGCTGCGGAAGTCTGATATGAAATGGTTTCGTTCTTGGGCGGGGGAATATGCAAAGGGTCTGCAGTACATCAGAAATCAACCATAAATCCACCATAAATTATGATAATTGATTCGATTTTAAATCATCATATACAAAGTCTCACAGCGACCGGCTACTATAGAGACAGGAGGATCCTTCCGCCTTTTTCCTCTCTCTCTGTCACTCCGAAGCTTCCCAGCCAACAGGCCAGTCCAATGAACCTGTACTCCACTGGTTTTGCCTTGGCCAGCTGCGATCCTGCAGCCGATCAGCGCAGCCAGAACTCTGGGCTATCTGTCCCTGGTCTCTCCAGGGATAGGTCCGATCCAGGCAAATCCCACCCCTAGACTCTCTATAGGGGCTGTCCGACATTGGACTTCTACCTCGGAACCACGAGACGCTAATGGATCACCAAAAGCCCTCTGTACCCAGAGGCCCCCAAACGGCGCTGATCAGCGCGCTACTCCCGCGAACCCCAGCTCATACTGGGTTCGAGGGAAGGCAACTAGGCCACCCCCGAGACCAGGGTGGGTTCTGGGTGGGGAAACAAGAAAAATCTTGCTATTTTGGATCAAGGCACTTGAGCCAAAATATCAAGGTGAATCAAGGTGATGAGAACTTGATAAATGATTTGTGAAAACCCAAGCCTTCCAAACCTGATTCACATATACATTTACAAAGTCTGACAACGACCGGCCACTATAGAGACAGGAGGATCCTTCCGCCTTTTTCCTCTCTCTCTCTGTCACTCCGAAGCTTCTCAGCCAACAGGCCAGTCCACCTGAACCTTGCTGCGTCAGGCTCCACGACCCCAGCCTCCACTGCGTAGCGCCCTGGTTGAAAAGCCATGGCAGCCGCTGCGAGGACTACAACTTGATGCACAAACTTGCGCCATGCTGTGAACTTCATCTTCACCTCAGAATCCACTTGAAAACAGCATAGATTGAACACAGGGGGCGACAGGGAGGGACCGACCAACCCAATGCCTGAAACCTGAACCCCTCCTGGGCCCTCATACAGCATTGTGGCCGTCCCTCGAACCGCTTCCCTCATTATCGTTGCCTCATTGATCCGTCTCCAGCTCTGGTGCCTGGCACAGGTCGCAAGCCCTGCAGCACTCGGCTTCGCAAGTGTCACAGGTATCCAAGGTCGGCACCCCGCATAGCCTGCACATAGGAGGGATGTAGTCCACGTTGGCCTCCACCGCTCCCAGCAGCAGCCTCCAAGAGTGGCCTGCTCTCCAACCAAGGTGGTTCCCTCGATCGATGGCGTCGGCCGAGAACCAGGGCTCCTCCCAAGTCCTGGGCCTTCCTTGCCAATCCTTCCAGAGCTCGAAGATCTCCACAACTGAGACCCCGTCCTGCCCCAGGCGTAGCCTCGCCAAGAGCCTCCGGACGTGAGAAGGCAAAAGATCCTCCCCCCGCACCTGAAGAGACCATGCGCCCTTCACAGCACATCGCGGTTGCCACCGCTCAGGCAATGAGTCAACTGAGGCAGCTTGGACCAAGACAGCCTGACATGGGACTGAGTACAAATCCGGCAACTCCGGAATGATCCAACCTTCATCCATGCCAGGGATATTCCACAGGAGCAAAGTCTCGACCACCAATCCCCATACCACTCGCGCCTCCCCAAGTCTCTCTTGGGCGAGGAGATCCACCATGTCGATCCAGGCCGCAAGGTGGAGTACCTCCACAGGCGTAGCATGGGACCCTGCCGGAAAGGCCATATACGTGGTCCCTCCACGTCAAAAGAAACAAGAAAAATCTTAAGGCACTTGAGCCAAAATATCAAGGTGAATCAAGGTGATGAGAACTTGATAAATGATTTGTGAAAACCCCAGCCTTCCAAACCTGATTCACATATATAGATAAATCATTAAATATATGAACCAACCATCCGACTTCCATTGCCACGCTAGTCATCCATGGGAGAGAGAGTGTTGGACAATGATAGAAATGGAATGCGAATATTTCGCAAGCTCCGAAAAAAGAAGAAACTTGCGTGGCGTTTTTTTCTTCAGGATCAAGTGTTTGGGAACAGCGAAAACGGTGTGTCTAAAAATGTACTGTACCCGCCAATGGGCATTTAAATAGGGAAACATGATTAACTAACCAGTGGATTGAATGGGGTCTCTCTCTCTCTCTCTCTCCATCGCCATCTCGTCAATTGAATGGGGTACAGAGAGGTATTTCAAATGGCCCAAACAATGTCAACGGATTGGCCTAAGGGAAAATCTACAGGAAACCATGGTGGTTCCCATGAAATATAGGGTCCAGAAACGTTTTCACTTACACTTTGAGAATCCAACTGGGCACCGCCCTGAATTATTCCATGCCTTGGTGCAGAAGGCAATGCCCTCATGACGTCCATCTTTGGGCGAAATCCTGGCGCCAGGGGTAAATTCGACTGGTTTTGTTTGGAAACACAATGTGGAAGTATGTGGAAACACACGGAAATACATGTGGGAAGGCTTCAACATAGATGTATGTAAATATCTGTGTGTGTAAATGATACATGGTGAAATACATGGGAAATATTCCAGTGCCAAATCCATCCCTGCTTTTTTGGTGGTGAATATTCCCAAAACAAAATCCGGAAACACCACGGCCATGGCCTCATTGGGAAGAGGGGATAGGGCCTGCGGCACGCCGGCACGCGGTGGACCATGGTGGCCCGGTGGCCCAGAAACCCTGGATAGGTCACCTCCTTCACCTGTTCTACACGCTGCTTGCGTGGCCACATGTCATCCTTCTCTGCAAGCAATTTTTCCACCTCGCGCGTTTAGCACCATTGCAGTCGCCACCGTCACTGCATCAACTTAGCCAATTCAAAGATTTCGGGAAAAGGCCCTGCCAAGCTGGTGGCCACAATTCACTTGACATCACTTGATGTAGAAATCTTGAAACATGTCAACCATGTCATAACATTTCGCCACTGGCCCTTGGTTGCCTTCAGATCATCAAAGATTCTGAAAGTGGCCACCTTTACCTGGAGGCTACCTTTGCTAGGGAAGCATCTAGTGTACGTATATACATTGGCTCATGGCCCTGCCCACCACAGCAGCCCCTGGAAAATCAGACGTTTAACTGCTCGTGGGATGGGATGAAACACCTTGGAAGGCAGGCTGGAAGACATCAAGGCAAACGTGGAAGACGGTGACGCTAAACGATCCAACATGAATATCCAAAATGTGGTATAAACATCCGAGTCGGTGGCAAAGGGGTGTTGATCCCCTCGGCCCTAAATGTTGTGTCACAGCTATTCACCCATCCAGGCCCATCCAAATGATCAAATATTGGGTTGATTTGGGACCACTTTTGCGGACCTCCCCAGCTAGGCCATGTGGCAAGGGAACGGGGCATCCCTTCGAGTGATACCTACCGAGACCCAGTCAAACGATTGATGTTTCACCTTGTTTAGAGAAACAAGGACTTGTACAGTAAAGGGCTGCTTAGAACGAAATGTACAGAAAAGATACGGTAGCGCAAAACATGAAGCACTAGATCCTAGTGTAGTTTTCTATCAATGCTAAAATCTTTGGCAGGTTGTGAAACACTTCCTGGCTGCTGCATGGGTTTACGAAGGGATTGTGAATGCTTGCCATGCACGAACATCGGCCGAGGTGCATCGCTGCTTATGACTTGGTGATTTGCCAAACCTCAAGGCCGTGCTGGTGAGAACACATGGCACGGCACCTGTGAGGACGTTCGTACTGTCAGACTGTCATGAACATGGCTAATGATGTGCTACTGCACCGCACCCCTTTCTCCATGTGTGGAAAAACACCCACATAAATTGCAGAAACGCTACCATTCACCAGCATTTGCACGACAAAATCACAACTGATCCCCAGAATCGCTGGTAACATCAAGTACATTTAAGTATCCCCCAGTGTCTGGTTCCACTACGTTCTACCCAATGTGGCAAACCCAATCACAAAGCATCCCACATCTACCCACTTTCACCATTTGGTAATATTTGAACGTGGAAGACTACGTTCCTCTACAGCGGTTAATTGTCAAGGTTCTATGTCAGCTGGGGGGTGGTACCACATTACGTATTTGTTGGATATTTCAAACCACCCGCCCCATCTAGAGGATCATCCCAGAAATCGTAATTGGTTAATAACTTAATAGGCCTGCTTTGTAAGTCCCGACATGCATCCATGTGTATATGACGTTACATTACATTACATTACATCGCATTACATTACATTGCATGTGATTGCATATTTATGTATAAAAGTAGGTTATCCAACTTGGGTTCTCCCACATACATCCCTAATATTTAAGTAGGTCCTAGGCAGGTGAACTAACTGAAATGGGATGATCCTCCAAGTGCAGCCATCATCGCTGCAGTTCAAGTGGCTCATGTTGCCGTCTGAATGGGTTCTTGCACCGGAGGCGGCTCCTCTGTCTCGGTGACGTACTCGACGGGGTGGGAGGGACCTGCCAACACCTGCAACGATGTCGTGTCGATTGACTGATTGGTGAATTTACCCGCAACCAGCACATACCATCACTCTAAATGAATTGACTAAAGCGAACCGGTGCAGCAAATCCAGGGTTTTGGTCATAAATTCTATGAATAATCAAGTGGTTTTCCTCCTAAATTTGCGCTTGAACTACTTGTGGAAAATTGAGGGAAATTGTCGGAATGTCACAAATGTCACGGCTATTCACGGCTCTGATGACATCACAGTTGCCCAAGACTTAAGGGATTCAGGAGTTTCCAGTCTCCCTTCGGACTCCTCCGACCAAGAGCGCAGACACGTCATCTATGAAAGTTGCAGATCGAAACCGTTTAAAACCCACCAGCTTCGACTTATCAACACAGGAGCACCCAACCCGTGTCAACACCAATTGCTATGATTGTGGTACGCCACCATCCAAGGTTGCTAATCACTAAACATCTACAAAACTGAAAACTATGATTTTAAATGACTTTAAAAAAACAAAAACCATAAAGACATGCTAATGTGTGATCTCCTTATTAATCTATCCCAGTCACAACTCACTTGCCCATGGCGTGCCTGTTGCACCACCTGCGCGGGATGCTCCTCTCGCTTGGTCTCCCCCTCCACGTGCTCCTCCCGCACGGAGCCCTGCGTGGTGGATCCAACCTGCGGAACTTCCACCACCTTCTCAACCACCTGCCGGGGCCGTGAGGAGATACCACAGGGTGCCACAGGGTATCCCAAGGGGCGTGCGCGTGTATACATTATAAAGACAATGGGAACGTCTGACGACGCATTGCGACGACACATTCCCTGACGACGCATTGCCCCCTGACGACGCATTACCCCCTGACGACGCATTCTGACGACACATGCCCTGACGACGCATTGCCCCCTGACGACGCATTGTGGCGACGCATTCCCTGACGACGCATTTCCCCCTGACGATGCATTGTGGCGACACATTCCCTGACAACGCATTTCCCCCTGACGACGCATTACCCCCTGACGACGCATTGTGACGACACATTCCCTGACGATGCATTGCCCACTGACGACGCATTACCCCCTGACGACGCATTCTGACGACACATGCCCTGACGACGCATTTCCCCCTGACGACGCATTGTGGCGACACATTCCCTGACGACGCATTGCCCCCTGGCAACGCATTATATACACCCTGACGACGAATTGTGTATTGCCTGACGACACATGCCTGTTGACAGGCTAGGCATGACGAGCAAGGGCGCAGGCGTACTGTAGTCTTAGTATGTGGGAAGATAAATAGAGGAATGTAGAGAGGAAGAGGAGCCGGAGGGCAGACAGGGGTTTGGTCTGATCTCCAAGGCTATAGGTTATGTAGAAATATAAAGTGCAGAGATGCGCAGAAGTAATTATCAAGATCGTGTGGTGCGTTTTTGCAACCTCAGTTGAAACCTTGAGGCAAGGATCAATCATTAAGTTGAAGTAGTAGAACCTTCTTAGCTTCTTACCAAACCCAAACGAAGAGAGCGCCCGAGTGTTCCAGGAGGAAGTTCAATGAAAAAGTATTGAGCGTGTAGCATTCAGAACATGCGGGAGTTTAGCGCGTAACATCAAGAGCGCGTTGGAAGTTCCCAGGCTAAAAGCATAGCACAGGAGGCTAGCATCAAGAGAACGCTGGCAGTTCCAAGAGGAAGCCAAGAGCTTAGCACTTAGCACCAAGAGCGTGCTGGAAGTTCCAAGAGAAACCCAAGCAAGTAATACCAAGAGAGCGTGTTGAAGGACCAAGAAAACCTAAGAGTCTAGCATCCAGAACGTGTTGGAGGTCAGAGCGTAGCATCAAGCGCATGCTGGAACGCTTGAGGAAGAACAAAAGAGCGTAGCAACTAGAGCGTCCTGGCGCGTTCCAGAACAAAGCTAAGAGCGTAGCACGAAGAGCGTGACTTTCTCCAGACCACAGCGTCAAGAGGCGGAGCGTAGCACCAACAAGAGCGCTTTGGAAGTTCCAAGAAAAAGTTATAAGAGATTCTAAGAGCTTATCATCACGATTGTGGTGGACCGTAGCGTCAACAGCATCTTGGACTGATCCAAGACAAGGTTCAGCGCGTAGCATCAAGAGAGTGTGAGCCGGAGCCAAGAACGTAGCATCAATAGCGTGTTGGAATTCAATGTGTCACAAAACGAAGCAAAAAATAGCACGCCATGCTTCATGATAAGCCAAGAGCGTAGCCTCAAGAGCGTGCTGGCACGTCCCAGGACAAGGCAAAGAGAAAGTGTTGGACAGCCCGCGAGATAGTTAAGAGAGTTAAAAACACCAAGAGCGTGTTGGAAGTTCCAATAGACAGCTAAGAGCGTAGCATCAAGAGCTTGCCGGACTGGCCCAGGAGAAAGTTAAGAGCGTAGCATCAAGAGCTTGCCGGACTGGCCCAGGAGAAAGCTAAGAGCGTAGCATCAAGAGCTTGCCGGACTGGCCCAGGAGAAAGCTAAGAGCGTAGCAGCAACAGCGTGTCGGAAAACCCAAGAGTAAGCCAAGAGCCTAGCACCAAGAGCTTGCTCGAACTTCCAAGAGAAAATTAGCATAGCATTCACGAGGCGACTGTCTCCAGAGCGTAGCGTCAAGGGCGTGCTGAAATGCCTCAGGCGAAGGCCAAGAACGTAGCATCAAAAGAATTTTCAAAATCTCAAAGAGCAAGCCCGGAAGCTATAGCATCCAGAGCATTTCGTTGGTTACTCTTCCCTTTCGTTTTGTCTTCCCTTCTGTTCCCTACGTCGCTCCTTTCGTTTTAACTTCTGCTCCGTTCGTTACTTCCTCCCCATTGTTTCATCTTATTCATTCACCTCTTCCTCTCATTTAAAGGTGTTCATTTCGTTGGGTCCGTCTTTTCGTTCAAATCTTCTGTCCTGTTCTTCCTGCTCTTCCTTTCCGGTCAACTCGTCCATTTCATTGTGCCTGTCTTTTTGTTGCAACTCTTCCCTTCCATTCGTATCCTTTCGTTGCTTCCTTCCTTTCGCTTCAACTCTTTGTAATCCCGTTCGCTACCTCTTTCGTTTCAACTCTTCCCTTCTGTTCCCTATACGTCGTTCCTTCCGTTTTAAATCGTTTTAATTCTTCCCTTCCGTTCGTTACTTCCTCCCCATCATTTCAACGCTTCCATTCCTTTCATGTCAATGCGTTCATGTCGCTGATTCCTTCCTTTTTTTAAGTCTGACATGCGGTTTGTTTACCTCTTCCTTTTTTCCAAGTCGTTCATTTCGTTACCTCCTTCGTTTTTCAACTCTTACATCCGGTTCCGGTTCGTATACCTCTTCCTTTCGTTTCGAGCCGTTCATTTCGTTATACATTTTTTCCTTTAGTTTCTACATCCGCTTCGTTTACCTCCTCCTCCTTTCCTCTCACGCGTCCCTTTCCTCGCGTCCGTCCTTTCGTTGCAACTCTACGCTTCGATTCGTTACTTCTTTCCAATTCGTTTCAGCTCTTTTTAATGGGGTTCGTTACTTCTTTCCCTTTCGTTTCAACTCTTCACTCCTGTTCCCTATACCTCGTTCCTTTCGTTTTAAACTCTTCTCTTCCCTTCGTTACTTTCTTGCCATCGTTTCAACGCTTCCATCCTGTTCATTGTCATGGCGTTCATTTTGTTAATTCCCTTCCTTTTGTTTCAATGTTTCCATCCAGTTCGTTTACCTCTTCCTTTCGTTTCAAGCCGTTCATTTCGTCACCTCCTTTCCTATCTTTTCTTGGCTTCAACTCTTCTTTCCTGTCCGTCTTGCTCTTCCTTTCCTTTCAACTCGTCCATTTCATTGCGTCCGTCCTTTCGTTGCAACTCTTCCCTTCCATTCGTTACTTCCTTCCTTTCGTTTCAACTCTTTTTCATCCCTTTCGTTACTCCTTCCCCGCTACTTCCAAGAACAAAGTTAAACGTTGTCGTCCAAGTAAAGCCATGACTTTACTTAAAGACACTCATTGACTGCTGATATATATATATAGTCAAAAAAGGGTGACCTTTCCCCTGAGCCTAATCGAATCCGTAAATCAACCCTCAAAATTCTGAAGAAAAAATTGTGGTTTCCATGCTCAAGTTTTTGATTGGTTCCCGAGAGCGTCTGAGCGCAGGGTTCTTCCAATAGTGGGGGTCTGTATCTCATCTTCTCATCTTCACACCTTCTCATCTTCACACCTTCTCATCTTCACATCTTCATCATCTTCTCATCTTCACACCTTCTCATCTTCACACCTTCTCATCTTGACACCTGCTCATCTTCACATCTGCTCATCTTCACACCTGCTCATCTTCACATCTGCTCATCTTCACATCTGCTCATCTTCACATCTGCTCATCTTCACACCTGCTCATCTTCACATCTGCTCATCTTCACATCTGCTCATCTTCACATCTGCTCATCTTCACACCTTCTCATCTTCACATCTTCTCATCTTCACAGCTGCTCATCTTCACATCTGCTCATCTTCACATCTTCTCATCTTTACATCCTCACATCTTCACATCTTCTCCTCTTGCCCTCTTGCCCTCTTGCTCTCTCCTTCTTTTCTATTTCTCTTCTGAAGGCGGGGGCAGGGCAGTGCAAACGAGACGGCACGAAACGCAACCCTTTCGCACGAAATGAGGGTCGATCGGCAAAAACTGAGGAAAAATTGCGATTTGAGTTGTGCCGGAGCAACCCTTTCACACGAAATGAGGGTCGATCGGCAAAAACTGAGGAAAAATTGTGATTTGTGCCGGAGCAACCCTTTCGCACGAAATGAGGGTCGATCGGCAAAAACTGAGGTAAAATTGCGATTTCAACTTGTCCGGCGCAACCCTTTCGCACGAAATGAGGTTCGATCGCCAAAAACTGAGGTAAATTTGCGATTTCAACTTGTCCGGCGCAACCCTTTCGCACGAAATGAGGTTCGATCGCCAAAAACTGATGTAAAATTGTGATTTCAAGTCGTCCGGCGCAACCCTTTCGCACGAAATGAGGTTCGATCGTCAAAAACTGAGGTAAAATTGCGATTTCGTGTTTCCGGTGGACCTTTTCGCACGAAATGAGGTTCGATTGTCAAAAACTGAGGTAAAATTGCGATTTCAACTTGTCCCGCGCAACCTTTTCGCACGAAATGAGGTTCGATCGGCAAAAACTGAGGTAAAATTGCGATTTCAACTTGTCCCGCGCGACCCTTTCGCACGTCCCTTTCGCACGAAATTTGGATCGCCAAAAACTGAAGTAAAATTGCAATGTGTGTAAAAGCGTCTGTGTGTAAAAGCGTCTGTGTGTAAAAGTGTCTGTGTGTAATAGCGTCTGTGTGTAAAAGCTTCTGTGTGTAAAAGCGTCTCTGTGTAAAAGTGTTTGTGTGTAAAACTGTTTGTGTGTAAACTTTTGCGTGTAAAAGCGTCTGTGTGTAATAGCGTCTGTGTGTAAAAGCTTCTGTGTGTAAAAGTGTCTGTGTGTAAAAGTGTTTGTGTGTAAAAATGTTTGTGTGTAAACGTGTTTGTGTAAATGTGTCTGCGTGTAAAAGTGTCTGGGTGTAAAAGTGTCTGTGTGTAAAAGCGTCTGTGTGTAAAAGCGTCTGTGTGTAAAAGCGGTGTAAAAGTGTCTTTGTGTAAAAGCGTCTGTGTGTAAAAGCTTCTGTGTGTAAAAGTGTCTGTGTGTAAAAGTGTTTGTGTGTAAAAATGTTTGTGTGTAAACGTGTTTGTGTAAATGTGTCTGCGTGT